GATTGACGGTCAGGAAGGCTTTGCTGTGTGTTTGGTGGGATTGGCAGGGAATCATCCACTATAAGCTGCTCCCCTACGGCCAAACTCTTAATTCGGATCTGTACTGTCAACAATTGAACCGTCCGAAGGAATCAATCGCCCAGAAGCGGCCAGCTTTGGCCAATAGGAGAGGAATTGTGTTCCAACAGGACAACGCCAGGCTACACACATCGATAGTGACTCGCCAGAAGCTCCGGGAGCTTGGTTGGAAGGTTCTTATGCACCCACCTTATAGACTGGAACTGGCACCAAGTGATTACCACCTGTTCCTGTTTATGGCGAATGATTTTGCTGGTGAAAAATTCGCCTCAAGAGAAGCTTGTGAAAATCGACTGTCCTAGTTTTTTGCCAATAAGGACAAGGGTTTCTATGAGAGAGGCATAATGGAATTACCTTCAAAATGGCAACAAGTTATCGAACAAAACGATGCATATTTGACCAAAATCGGATCATTCTAACTATGCTAAATAAAGCCTTCAATTTCATGCAAAAATAATGGATTTCTTTTTAATACACCTTATATATATATAATAGATAATAATCACGAGATATATATATAATGGATAATAATCACAAAACTCGACATGTTTAACACTATGAAAAAAAAGTTGTTTACATTTCGGCGAAATGACATACACTGAATTTTAAGCTTGCTTATAGTACTTTCTTATAGATGCGTTACCATCTTAAACTACGTGCGTGTAGTTTTGTGCCAAAAAGAGTATTTGCGGCTGAAGCACACAGAATTCTTGTTGAGACTTACGGCGACCATGCTCTATCGGAAACAACATGTAGAGTTTGGTTTAGACGCTTCAAAAATAATGATTTTGATGTTGAAGATAAAGAACGCTCTAGCGCACCGAAAAAGTTTGAGGACGAAGAATTGGAGGCATTACTTCATGAAGACTCATGTCAGACGCTAGCTGAACTTGCAGAATCATTAGGAGTTAATCACACAACAGTTTCGAAACGTTTGAAAGTATTAGGAATGATTCAAAAGGACATTGGGTGCCGTATGAGTTGAAGCCGAGAGACGTCGAACAGCGTCTTTTCACGCGTGAACAGCTACTTCAACGGCAGAAAAGGAAAGGTTTTTTGCATCGTATCGTGACTGGCGATGAAAAGTGGATACACTACGATAACCCTAAGAGTAGAAGATCGTGAGGTAAGCCTGGCCATGCATCAATATCGTCGACAAACCCGAATATCCATGGTTCGAAGCTTCTGCTCTGCATTTGATGGGATCAGCTGGGTGTAGTTTATTATGAGCTGCTCAAACCGAACGAAACCATCACGGGAGATCACTATCGACTACAATTGATGCGTTTGAGCTGAGCATTGAAGGAAAAACGGCCGTTATACGAGCAGAGACACGACAAAGTGATTTTGCAACATGACAACGCTCGGCCACATGTTGCACAACCGGTGAAAACCTACTTGGAAACGCTTAAATGGGAAGTCCTACCCCATCCGCCGTATTCACTAGACATTGCCTTTTCCGATTATCACTTGTTCCGATCGATGGCCTGGCTGAGCATTCATTCTTATGAAGATGCCAAAAAATGGGTCGACTCTTAGATAGCCTTAAAAGACGTGTCGTTTTTCCGACGTGGAATTCAAATGCTGCCAGAAAGATGGGAAAAAGTAGTCTCCAGCGATGGGCAATACTTTCAGTGACATGTTTTTTACGACTTTTTTTAAATAAAGCATTAATTTTCACGAAAAATCAGCGAGAACTT